TAGAACTAGGTCGAGTATTTAAAAGGTTATGGTTAACGTGGTTTAACGTCGATGTAATACGTTGTTTTAGCGTACATTTTGCTTAAATGAGGAGCTGGGGGACGCCGGAAAAATATGAGTAGGCATATTCGAATTGCACTATTCGAATGCATGTCCGAATCTCGCGAGAATTAGTATGTCACCCACCTACTCTTTTAAGAGTACAAAGGATTCTTACATATTTGCTCACCTACTGCTTTTCCCCTACTACATAGTTGGGAAGTATGCAATTTCGAACGGAGCCTTATACAAAGGCCAGAGCAGTTACAGAACAAGTAACTGTTGAAGTTTAATAAAGCACTTTTTTATGTTTGCCATTATTTAGAATCTGAATGATGTTCTGTGGCAGTAGTGTTTTTGCACTATAACATCATGGAGGGCCAGTATTCTGCAGTTTAGCACCATCTGCCCCAGATTTCTAATCCTGAAGACTTTAATTTACTGGTTTAGGAGTGTTTAATGTGGGTTGGATCTACACTGACCAGCACTGAGTTTTCCAAAACCTTCATGAGCCTTAAGCCCAATTTATGCTTCTGTGTTCATGTTCATATCCATTGATTACAAATAATACACTTTATTTTGACATTCAGATTAAAGGGGTGATGAACTGAGAAATCAAATTTTCCTTGAGCTTTTGACATAAGAGGTTATCATATTATAAGAATATAAGTTTCAGAACTGAAAATGTCCATGTTAGTCTAAAATCCACTTTAATTGAAAAAAATCGTGGCGGAGCAATTAATAGAACATCCTAACCAATTGTTGCATCTCCAGCAGTTTGGGTTCAGACAAAAACACAGTACAAAAACCGCCAACTGCTTCTTGTTGGAACAGATCAAAGGTTCACTGGAAAAAGGGAATGTCGTAGGCGCTGTGTTTTTAGATCTGAAGAAGGCCTTCAACACAGTGGACCACTGTATCTTATTGCAGAAATAAAAGCAATTTCAATTTTCAAATGCAGCTCCTACCTGGAGGCTAGAGAACAATGTGTGAGCGTAGCAACTGTTAAATCTAACCCGAGTTCAAATGGCTTAGGAGTGCCCCAAGGGTCAGTTCTAGGACCGTTATTGTTTTCAATGTGATCTCACATTGTGTAAACTTCCAGCTTTATGCTGACGACACAGTTATCCATGTATTAGCAAAAACAAATGCACTGGCTGGACAGCAGTTAACACAGGCTTTACATTACATCTCAAGATGGTTTCAGCTGTCCCATTTAACTTTAAATGTTCAGAAAACCTTCTCAATGTGTTTTTCTATCAACCGGAGGTCCCCTGACAGCATCTTTGAAGTTCATTTAAACACAGAACGTTCCTGAATGGTCCCATGTGGTTAATTTTTTGGGAACAAAACAAGAACGTTATAGGAACGTTCCATGTAGGTTATTTTTAGGTTCCATTTTTATAACGTAAGGAGAATGTTCCGGGAACGTTCCCTTAACCTTAAGGGAAAGTTCTAGGAACGTTCTGGGAACCAAAAACGAACGTTCCCAGGACCTAAATTTGTTTGCTGGGTATGAACCTATTCATGAGGATCATGAAACAAAATACCTCGGCATAATCATGGATAAACATTTGAAGTTCCAAAGTCAAGTCTAAACTGTTTTCATTTTATTACAGGGAGAGTTGTCACATCACGTGGCTTCAGGCACGTGCACACATAGACATCAAAAGGGGCTTGAGCACCTGCCCTTTTTATTCCTGGAGAGAAAGTGCCCCTTTTTTCTGCTTGACAGCTTTTTTGCTTTATCCATCTTTTTCGATGACAACTCACTAACGGAACCCGTCCCTGCTCGCGATATTACAATATATACACCGCTCACTTATATAACATTGAGGAAATGCAGAAATTATTTAGAAACACACAGCTACATATAAAAAATACCCATACATTTTTTTACCATTGCTTTTGATATAAAATTCGTCAAAATCACTGTCTGGATCTGACAGGACAGTTAACATTGTAAGCTAACTTACCTTAGGCTTGCTTTCCGACGTGCAGTTCTTTGTTCGGCAGTCCGTCAGACTTGCGGCGTAAAATACTTTGAAAACAATTCTACCCTACTCTGACTCGGATTGGCTGTCAGGGCATTAGGAATGATGATTGTTTTTTTTTTTTTTAAGCTGCAAAGTTTATAGAGATATAGCGGTTTAGATTCTAATTGGATCTGCACAAATCACGTGACCCATGTTGGTTTTAAAACGGCCAATTTTGCCGAAAGGTGAGAAGTTTTCATGCCTGAATAATTGTAATAATTCAGCAAATTTAAGTCATCAAATCACACTTATAGGCCTACTCTTCATCCCTGTTTTCGTATAAATGATCACTCTAGGCTCTATTGGATTTTAATGATCATATTAAGAAAACGTGCATGTGTTCTTTTGCCTTTTAAGAAAGGATTTTATTTATTATTTTTGCAAGTAAAAATTTAGTTGCACATGAAGGAAGTCCAGCCAGAAGAGCATTGGACAAGAAGTTGGGTTGCACGCTCTGTTAGGAAAGGCCTGATCTTCCTGATGTTGTACATAACAAACCTGCATGATTTAGCTGTCTTTGTAATGTGGTCTGTGAAGGTCAGCTGGTCATCAAAGATTACTCCAATATTTCTGACCAATCTTGTTGGGTTGATTGAGGAAGAATCTAGATGCAGAGTGATGTCGTGCTGTATTGACGGATTGGCAGGGAGGACGAGAAGCTTAGTCTTTGTCAGGTTGAGCTATGAATTCTATATCATTTAGAATACCATATTATTTAGGACACCACTTCGACAGCCAGCCATTGAGTGAGGACAGTCTACTATATCATCAGTCCTGTGAACAGGAAGGGGGCCAGAGCAAAGTGCAGTGCCTGACATCGAACTATCCAGTTCACACAATATCTCTTTAGCGTTAATTAGGTGTTCAGGCACGAATGTGCTGAAAACCTATTGTATTTGCTAGAAAGAAAAAAAAAATCCCCTAAAACGCATCGTGCAGCCCAAACCGTAAGGGCTGGAGCTGTGAAACTTTGTCAGATGGTAGGGCCTCGAATTGTGGAGAAGCTATCAGAGTATGACCCCGATTGGCCCATAGGTGGCGCTACAGCAACCAAAAGTACTAAATTGCGCATAACTCCTAGACCGTTTGACTTAGCTTCAATGTTTTTACACCACTGTAATCCCTGGCTCAAGACGGACAAGATGTATATCTCGGATTTCCATTTGGAGCAAAAAAAAATTTGTTATTTCGGTTTTTGTCCAAAACCCACTTTTGCGAACTAGTCCCTGGTTTTTTGCCCAATCGGGACCAAACCAGTCTAGGCCTATTCTCTGGACTCTCTAGATCAATAATTATCGAAAAAAAAGTTGAAATTTTGCATTTGGTTGGCTGTCACAGGGTCATTTAGATAGTGGTCTGTGGCAAAATTCAGTCAAAAGCCCCTAAATCCCCCCCCAAAAGTCACAACTTCACAAAAATCGGTGAGCATATGTGTCCTAACATGGTTAGGAAGCATGCAAAGTTTCGTGAGGATCGGATCATAGGTGGCGCTACAATCGCCAAAAAGGTCTCTCATTATTAGGTGTTCAGGCACGAATGTGCTGAAAACCTATTGTATTTGCTAGAAAGAAAAAAAAAATCCCCTAAAACGCATCGTGCAGCCCAAACCGTAAGGGCTGGAGCTGTGAAACTTTGTCAGATGGTAGGGCCTCGAATTGTGGAGAACCCAGACAGCAAACTGACATTGAATCAATGTGGAAACGACGTCTCTCATGACATTGAAACAACGTTGATTTGCTCATCGAATTAACGTTGAACCAACGTCAGACGCGGCATTCTTCAAAGCTAAATGAAATCGAAAATTAGTTTGCTTTCATAACGTTGAAACAACGCGTTGATTTCAAGTTGATTTTCCGTTAGTTTTGAAAGAATGACGCATCTGACGTTGGTTCAACGTTAATTCGATGAGCAAAACGATGTCAGATCAATGTTGTTTCGATGTTATATTTCCACGTTGATTCAATGTCAGTTTGCTATCTGGGAAGCTATCAGAGTATGACCCCGATTGGCCCATAGGTGGCGCTACAGCAACCAAAAGTACTAAATTGCGCATAACTCCTAGACCGTTTGACTTAGCTTCAATGTTTTTACACCACTGTAATCCCTGGCTCAAGACGGACAAGATGTATCTCGGATTTTCATTTGTAGCAAAAAAATTACTTATATAATAAAGACAATACTCAACTGTAATTCATAGTATAACTTTATCAATTCAGTCTTTTAACATTTACAACCACATTTAGTAAAAAATGACTATTATCCTGAAGTTGAAAATGAGTGTGTGAACTAAACTGTAGTAAATCATATTTTAACATGGTAAATTATGATAAATCATATTGGAACATGGTTATTTATGTAATATCAAGCTGAAATGTAGTATATCATGAAAAATCATGCCTGCTACATACAACTTAATGTCTTTTGATGCTTTTGTGCTTAAATGCCTTAAAGACCTGAACACCGCTAAATGCTGCTTGCAGCTTTAATTTTTATGATCTTCGAATGGCAGAGTCGAACATCATTAGTGCCGACGTGAATAATAGCCTTAGAATTTACGATTAACATTAGCCAGCACTGCAGGTTCGCTGTGCAGCTTCAGAGGAGTCAGAGACGTTAGGTGTTGCTGAAGGAGAAAAAATCTGCTAGAATCTTTATAGGCTTAGGCCACACCCATTTAGGCACACCCTGACATGTTCAGCGTCAAGTCACTTAAATGGGCGAGCTAGACGCTCTGCTGTGTTCACTGTGCAGCTACACTGCATTTTTAATTATTAGCTTCAATATTTCTCTAGGAAAGGAGTTTCCCTCACTGTGTATTAGCCACGCAAAATTAAGTGACCGTTCTTGAAAGGGAGCTACATATAGAGAAGCTCGTGCAAGTTATTCAGAAGATCAAGACGACACAAAATCATCAAAAAAAAAAGACGAGTTTAAAAAATAATTTATTATGTTCATCAAAATACAAGGTATCATCACAATGTACATACTTAAATAATATTAATATTATAACATCATTAATATTTCATCATTACGTGCTACATAGTAAAGCTGGACGTTTCTGGTGAATTTGTGAAAAACTTTGTTCAAGAAAAAATTTGCTCATGACTTAAAGCCACTCTAAGTAATTTTTGTTTCTTTATTCTTGTAACAAATTCTACATGCAATGTAAATATATAATGAATGACATTAATACTAGTGCATCACCTCTTCACAGCCAGAATAAATAAATTTGCACAGAATATTGATAAATATAACTAATTTGACGTCATTTACACCGACGCACAATATTCATAAACATAAATAAGCATTTCCATCTAAAATTGGAGCAACCCTCACCATGCCTCTGTTACTTTGACAAATTTCTCTTTCAGATGATGTCGCTATGTTACAAGAAATTTGATCTTTTGATTTATCAGATTATCAAACTATTAACTTGAATGTTAAAGATGTGAAAATGAACTTTAGTTATTTAGGAAACGCAAGGCAACACTTTTTATTATGAGTCTGTAGCTGAGATAATCGGATGAACCTCTTCCCACATGAAGGGCACTGGTGCGGTTTCTCTCCAGTATGAACTCTCTCGTGATCTTTCAGGTGTCCTGACTGAGAGAAACTCTTTTCACAGTGTGAACACTTGTACGGTTTCTCTCCAGTGTGAATTCTCTGGTGCGATTTTAAGCCGTTCGATGTAGTAAAGGTCTTTTCACAGAGTGAACACTTGTACGGTTTCTCTCCAGTATGAATTCTCTGATGAGATTTTAAGTGGGTGGATGTAGTGAAGGTCTTTCCACAGTGTGAGCAAATATAAGGTCTCACACCAGTATGAATAGTCTCGTGCTCTTTTAAATGCTGCAGTAGTCTAAAACACTTTCCACATAAAGAACAAAAGTGAGGCTTCACACCAGCATGAACATTAAGGTGACTTTGTAAGCTTGATGAAAGAACAAATGTTTTATCACACTGATCACAGCTGAATGATCTCACTCCAGAGTGACGGCGCAGATGATCGTTGAGAGAGCCTTTACACCTGAAACTCATTCCACACTGAGAGCATGAGAACGGTTTTTCTCCAGTGTGAATTCTCATGTGTCTGGTAAGGGTTGATTTATCTGTTAAACTCTTTCCACACTGAGAGCAAGTGAATGGTTTTTCTCCAGTGTGAGATCTCACGTGTCTGTTAAGGGTTGATTTATCTGTGAAAATCTTTCCACATTGACAGCATGTGAAAAGTTTTTTTCCCGTGTGAATCCTCATGTGTCTCTGAAGGTGTGTTTTATGTATGTAACTCTTTCCACATTCAGAGCATGTGAAAGATCCTTTGGCGACTGTGTTTTCATTTTCATTCGTGAAATGTTGAGGTTTTTGCTGTTTGTCTTCATTCACTTCCACCGGATCTAAAATCAACATATTAAATTAAGTCAATAAAAGGACAAAATGAAATATGGTTCAGTCTCAATTTAACACAAATCCAGTATAATACCGAGTTGGGTGTCCTCACACTAGGCGATCTGAACCATGCCCGAGCACATTTGACCCAAAATCTGGTTCGTGATCATTTTCGTACCGTATCTGGGCCTGCATGAAGAGCTGGGCTCAGGCACGGTTCAATTGGGCTGCCTCCATAATATTCTTCTATAATAATCACGCCAGGACACAGTACAAGACAACCATGCCTAGCTGCAGACTGATCTCATGAAGTAGCGTGTGTATGACACGCCAATTCGTATTTCCATGGCGTGCTATCAAGACGCATAATCGCCTTTGAAGGTGTTTATGAACGCCGTTGACTTAACGTTATATAAATATATGACTTACCTCAACCCCGTCCCTAAACTTAACCGTCACTGGGGTTAATGGCATTTATGACTGGAGATTTGACTGCGTGTACAAACACGCGGAATGACGCGGACGTTAATGGCGTAGACATGTACGCATACACACGGATAGCTCAAAATGCGTAGAGATAACACGCCACCTGACTGGAAAGTGGAGTATATGTTTACGCAAAAGTCATGATGTCATGTTGCTAGCTGTGTGTACACTAAACTCATGAGACTATATTTTAAAGAATAGTTTTAAAACAAATCTTTTTTCGAATCATTTGATTCATTCAACGGACGAAATGACTCAAAAAAAGATTAGTTCATTTTGATGAACGAGTTCAAACAGGAGAGTCACAAACGTGCATCACAGAACAGAGCAAGGCGAGCATTTGTGCTTATAAATCTTTAATAAATAACAAATAACATTGTAATTTATTTTTTAAATGACAGATCGTTTTGCTAGAAACCTTATTCATCATCTGGTGTCGTTTAAAGCTGCACTGAAACGACCATTTGTGAGGTTTGTGAGTAAACTATCAGCAAAAGTTTTTTTTTAAAAAGTGAACTACTCCTTTAAGACACAACCCCCCGATTTCACAGACAAGTAAAAGTCAAGTCACAGTTTAGTCTTAGATTAAAATACATGCTTGAGCTGTTTTAATTGAAAGCAACTTGCACTAACAGATCTTAACATATTTGTCACTTCCACTGTATTGTCTGAAGATGCGCATCAATGATGTTTTTTAAGGCACATCTATAAAAGCTGCTTCAATGTCCTAATAGAACTAAGGCATAATCCTGGCTTATTCCAAGCCCCATCTGTGAAACCAAACCAGGCCTAACAGTTTACAGGTGAAAATTAATGTCACAGTTCCAATAACTTAGGACTAGGGCTAAATTTTCAATAATGTTCATGGAGCAAAAGCAGAACAAAACTCACTTGAATGGTGCAACACAGATCATATATCCACTTGGCTCAAAGTTCAAACGGCAGCGCAGCGTGAGCTTATTAGAGCAGATTTATTCGCTAAACAGTCTCTGACATGCGCTGTGATATTCAGTGAAAAGCACTTGATTTCAGCGATGAACACAAATGTCTCAGTGATTTAAACTAGTTAAAAGCCAGATGAAACGGCACGGACAAATAGGAGAAAAACTGTGCAACGAAAGTGAAAAGTGAACACTTTTCAGTCTACAAATCTCCATAATTTACCATGTTTACTGTAGTAACACTAACTGCACTATGGTATTGTGGCAGAAATGTGACAGAATAACCAGCCCATGACAGAACGACAGACCCATTAAAAGGGATATAGCAGCAATGAGAAAAATTCAAGGATTACAGCATTGGTCACAATGTTTACAGTGAGAGAAATTCCTTTGGATGTTATTGCCAGTAAGGGACATTCCAGAGTTCAACTGAGAGAGCATTGCATGGTCCATAATGGCTATAACATTTACGTTGTGTTTACCAGTTCACAGCCTTCTCAGAACTGCCTGCTCTCCCGGGAGGGGGAGGGTACGGTCAAGTCTTAAGTGTTTTGATTCATGTTTGTATTTCTGTTTTTTTAGTGTTTTGCTGTCAGTGCGTTTAGTTCAGTCTTCTTCCGTCCCCTGCCTGTTTGTAACCACGTTACTAATTGAGTTAGTTCTGTTCAGATGCGTCTAGTAGGGGTGGAACGGTACATGTATTCGTATTGAACCGAAACGGTACGTGCGTCACTGTTCCGTGTACGAATTTACACGGAGAATAATTAATGTAATGTGGAACTACTGTTAGATACGCGGGTTCTTTAGGGGCACATAATCTGTACCATCGGCGAGCTCTGAACGTGCGTTCACTTCAAACATTGGCCTATTCGCATTGGACTAGCGTCAAACTAGATGCGATAGACGCGAATTTGACGCTCTATTCGCGTTTGATATGACCGCATTATGAACAGGCTGCGATGTCAAGACTGCAATGCTGGAGTGTGTGTGTGAGAGAGAGAGAGGCACGGGCTTGATCGAACAGAGAAAACATAAAAAACATACTCATTTTTTTCCAGATCATTAAACCTGCAAAGTGTTTACTTATATTTGTGTACACTCGCAATAAACCACAAGATTGTGCTTTTGTCACACTGTAAACTCTTGACAAACTGTAACCTACAACGGTCACCCAAACAAAATCACATGTACACATTGTTTTAGAAGCAAAACATATTTATCCAACTCCATTTCAAAACAGTCTGTGGGTCCCATCTTTTGGACATTCGTCATATTCCATTGGTTTTCATTTCTTGTCCTCGGAGCACTAATCTTACACATTCTACATTGTTTAAAAAAGAAAATCGAATGTGTTTTTAATGGTAGTATTATTTTATATAGAAATAAATTATTTATAATTCAGATGAGAATAATGTTACAATGTTAATTAAAATTAAGGAAAACAAATATATTGATCTGAAATATAGCAAAATAATTTTAAATTAATTCAGGTACAATTACCAAACATATCGCGAGGTCTTTTTGTCTTTTTATTAATTTAATTAATAAACTAATTATATAAAACTATTGTCAGTGCACTACAAATAAACTGGTTCTATGCCTTTATTAATAAAACTTATTTTAAAAATACAATGCAATTCAATGCAAAACAATTCAAATGACAAAAATATAATGGGTTTGAAAATCAATTCGATTTGAATCTTGTGACATATAAACGCGCACATCAACCCGATTATTTTATTATCATACAAAATGTCTTTCGTCCTATAGGGAGAATGGAGAATATTTCCGTTTATCCTAAACACATTTTCTATCGCCCCTTCTATCGCTGTAGAAGTATTTTTCATTGTTTGTTAATTTCAACATTTACTAATACGTTTTTTAATTGACTTTTAATTTTTATTTATCTGTTAACCGTAGTTAACACACTATGAACTAACATGAATGATCAAGGTACAATTGAATTTCTCAAATATTACATGGTGTAAAAAAAATGTGTTACTAAGCGTGACGGTGAAGATTGATAGGTTAAACTATAATTGGTTCACAATATCAACACAGCCTTTTGGAAAATGTATTTGTGATTGGCATTGACTATTTTTTATTTTTTTTTACTTCATGTTACTTTAAACATAAGCACTGCACGTTTCAAAGTCAACGTTTTTATATGAATGTATTTTTGAAGGGAACAAACCGCTCGTTTCGTGTCTTAGGCCATCAGTGTGTACTTACATTTACGAGTCATTAAATCATGTTTAATTTTGACTTCTCTGTGCATGCTCTTTGAGGTGGACCCTCTAAACCTGCATTATATGACTGATAGACAACAACGGTTTGACTGAAAAATATAAAAATTGAAAATATTGTGAAAACAAAGACACCTACATCTTGGATGCCCTTGAGGTAAGCTAAAACATATCAAAAATTAATTTCAAAGTGAACTATCCCTTTAAATGTTCCTCATTAGTTATTAAAGGGTCATAAAACCCAACTCACATTTTTTGAGGTGTGAACAAATATGTACAGGTTTCCCTGAAAACTCTTCATGACAACTTTAAAGAGAATGAAGGAAAACACCAACCTATTTGTTCCGCTGTATCTTCATCTTTTATTCTGCAGGGTTCTTCCTTAATCTCCATCTTTACAATAAGAAGTAGTCTGTAGTTTCTCCTGGAGTAATTCCTCCTCCTTGCTTCTTCTTCTCCTGTGGGAAGATGGGAATATTCCCCAGCATTTAAACTCTCATGAACGGCTGTGGGAGCTTCACTGACTGAAGGAGTGAACTGTGGTCGTTGTTGCTCATTTAGCAGATGATCATCATCACACTTTAAATCACTCAAGATTATCTAGCTTTAAGAGTTTTGATCCAACAACCTTTTGGAAACAATTTAACTTCTCTAACTGCTTTTTATGTTGATCTTCCATTAGATAACATGCTTTAAAAATGTTTACCAGGTTTAATTGCATAAAATGGAAACACAACTCAATCTTCACAAATTGTAATGGGAAAAAAACAGTCAGTTACGAGTTAGTCGGTTCATTTCTAAGTAATTCAGATTCACTAAATGAACTGACTCGTTTAGTAGTTTGTATTTAGATTTCTCCAAATAAATGATAAAATGAATGTACCCACAGTCTGAAAAACAGCAGATTTAGAGCAGAATGAACGGCTGTGTTCCACTTCTCATGTTTATGTTCCCTTCACTCGCTCACTTCTCTTCTTCTCCTAGACTCGGATGTTTTCATTGCTTCGCTTGCTTGAGCGCCTCTACTGGCAGAAAAACACATTCAACTATTGTACCTTTATAATAGATACGAGACATCCAGGATGAGATCTGTTATCTTGTTTGAGATTATACAAACACTATTTATCTGTTGGTTTAATTTGGGATAAAAAAAATTCAAATAAGGAGTTTGTAATTGTATTTACCTTTCTTGACTCCTCCAACTGTTTTGTGTTACTGTTGTTGATGATTTTAATATACATTTTGAAGTAGTTTCATTTTAAATTCAAGTTATATGATACAATAATAGGTATGAAAATTTACCTTAAAAACTCCAGTTCTGTCTGAGCAGCTCAATGCAAGTTGCCTGATTAAATAATGTCCTCACAATCTGATAAACACATACAGTGAATTAAATCAGTTCATCAATCAGATTCGACTAGAACACGAAATATGCTCAAAACAAGTTGATTTCATTGCTTTTTTTTTTTTTTTACTAAATTGTTTGTAAAAATATAGCATAGCCATATAATGTAAGAGCCTAAATGACCGTAAATCTTATTTCATAACTAGCAGCTGGAAAATTTCACTGCTAAATTAGACACAGAATTATACTGGCCCCCGACTGAGGGTTCTTTTGGTTCCTTGCCACTGTTGCCTTGGCTTTTGGCTTGCTTAGTTGGGTACATTTAATATTCAACAATATTATTGATCTGTGTTGTATTATTTTCATGTTATGGCTGCTTTGATGCAATCTGTATTGTAAAAAGCACTATATAAATAAATGTGACTTGACTTGACAGAACATATTCAAGCAATTGCATCTTCTCTCAGTGATGTGTTTGTCGAGTTCATATTATGAGAGGAATCACCATAAAAAAACATATCTGGTGGCATTTTTAAAAGAATAACTGTTTACAACTACTGGTTCACTAGCAATGCTGAATACAATGTTAAACCTCTTGAGCTGCTAAATCTATTATTTATAGCCTATAATAGCTAAATAAATCACAAGCTTTTGGTTATTTTTATTTCTCACATTTTCACAGTGTCCAGAGAGCGATTCAATCCAATAAAGGCTTCAGTATGTTCTTAATGCATCACCTCTAAACAGCGAAACTAAAAACAAGTTGTTTGAGATATGAATGATATTTGATAGATTATTGTTTCACAAATGCCTCATATATGTACAATGAAAATCAAACAACACAATGAAACAAAACACATTCTTTCATAAATCATAGTAAATGGACTGCATTTATTTTATATAGCGCTTTCATAGACCTAATGGCCACCAAAGCGCTTTACATTTTTGCCTCACATTCACCCACTCATACACCGACGGCGGTGTCAGCCATACAAGGCGCCATCCAGCTCGTCGGGAGCACAGTGTTCTATGGCAACAGTTTTCTGAAATATTATTTTTGTTCCATCTGTATGAGATGACCATTGTTGGCATCCGTCTGTCTCAGGAGACAATGGAAAATGCAAAATAGTTGGTTTGCAGATTTGAGCGGCAGGCTCTGTTGCAGTTCCTGGATCTGTTGGTGCTACATCTGAGATATGAGATGACCATGCCCTGCTTAAGCGATGACACTGACAGGAGTATTTTCACATTGTTGTAATCACAAGAGAAAGATTTTTCAGTTATCCCTGTCATTTTCCCAAAGTTTTTTTTTAATTATTATTATTATTATTTTTTTTTTTTACCAATTTGAACTGGAATGGCATCCCCCCTCAAACTTTTAGCATCTCTAGAACTAGACATGTTCTCCTTAATTTTCATTTTTGGGGAACTATTCCTTTAATGTAAATATGAACCTTGAATTTGTAACACTGGAACATTAAACATATAAAAGATCCACTCGAGCACAGACCTTTTGGCTGCTGCTGCTGCAAAAAAAAAAAAAAAAAAAAAAAAAAAGAGAGAGAGAGAGAGAAAGAAAATGCTCTGCTTATGATACATTTATTTAGGAATAGAGGGAAATATATATTCATACTTGTCCATAGTCAGAAATCACTAAAATCAAATTTCATACTTGACCTTATTGCATAGAAACCCTGATAAAATTAAACTATTCACCTGAAGGCGTTTATCAGAACATAAACTTTCCTCACTTAGACACCTTTGTGCAAAGCTTTTTCGTATGTCTCTTTAGAGTAGATAAACTGGTGAAACTCATCTCACATGAAGAGCACTGGTGCGGCTTCTCTCCAGTATGAATTCTTTGGTGTTGTTTTAATGCACCTGGTGTAATAAAGGTCTTCCCACAGTCAGAGCACAAATGAGGTCTCACACCAGTATGAACACTCTCATGCACTCTTAAAGTCGCCAGTCGCGAAAAACTCCTTCCACAAAAAGAACAAACGTGAGGCTTTACACCAGTATGAACGTTAAGGTGTTTTCTTAAGCTAGATGAATAAACAAATGTCTTATCACACTGATCACAGCTGAATGACCTCACTCCAGAGTGAGCGAACAGATGATCATTGAGAACGTTTTTGTAAGCGAAACTCTTTCCACACTGAGAGCATGTATAAGGCCTCTCTCCAGTGTGAACTCTCATGTGATAGTTTAGGTGTCCTTTGCGAATGAAACTCTTTCCACACTGAGCGCATGTGATCAGTTTTTCTCCAGTGTGAATCATCATGTGCCTCTTAAGTGCTGATTTGTACAAGTAAAACATTCCACACTCAGAACAGGTTAAAGGTCCTTTGACTCTCGATTTTCCAGCTTGTTTTTGTGTGAAATTCTCTTCAGTCTGTGAAACGACTGCATTTCCATCTTCATTTGTGAAATTATGAGGGTTTTGAAATTGTTGCTGTTTGTCTTCATTCACTTCCATCGGGTCTAAAAACAACATTAAATTCCCATAATTCGATTAAAAAAGGACAATTGAGAAGAAGAAATAACGTTCATTCTTAATTTAGCACAAAACTAGTTCACTACTGAGTCTATTGGTATCTATTTTTAGATGTATTGTTATATCCTCTGGAGAACCAGAACTTTTTAGTTGTTTTAGTTGTTTATTTTGTCATTAGATTTTTGGAGCATAAGAAACAAATGGAGATTTTTTTTTTAAAGATTTTTTAAAGATTTTAAAGATTTATTCATTATTTTGTCTGTACACCAGGACATTAGACATGTATAGGCATTATTTTTTTTATTTACAAATACATTTTTATAACAGTGTGATTTGAAAAACTATTTTACTTTATGCAACGTGTATGGGTAGTCCCATTCTATAAAATTGATTTAATTTGCATATTAATGTGTTCTTGTGGCAACATGAGTAATAACTTTTCAACATTTCCACGAGAATCTCTTATATTTCATTAAGTCCTGGGGCCAGATGTATAAACACTGCAATTTCCATGCACATATCATTATTTATAAAAATATGTATTAATTATTAAATTAAATATTGATTAATTATTAATTTAAATAGAAATATTTGTAGTGGATGCGCTGCTTTAGAACACTTTTCCAGTAGCATGCTGTTTTAATGTTTACATGACAATTCCACTTTAAAGGGATACTCCACCGTTTTTTCATATTAAACTGTTATTCCCTCAATAAGACAAGTAGATACACACTTCTCTTGTCTCAGTGCGAGCACTAAATCACTCTGGCGCGCGAGACACTGTGAAAGCACTTAGCTTAGCCCAGTTCATTCATTAGGATCCAAACAGATAAGCGACCAAACACCTCCACGTTTTCTCTATTTAAATACAGTTACACGAGTAGAGTAACTCGACCAAGAATTGTGACACAAAATAAAACGTTGCGCTTTTCTAAGCGTGTAAAGTGTATAACTATAATGTATGGCGGAACACAACAGCAAGTGCTTGGGAGCACTTCAACATTTAAAGCAATTTAAAAATACTATTTGGCCAGGGGAAAAGATTGAGAATAACTCTTCTCTGAACACTTTCTCTGAAATGTAATGTATACAATTTTTATTTATTTATTGGAAAACAAGACAAGAATACTGAAAGAATTTTAGTTATGTAACGTGACGGCACATAGTCTGTATCTCATATTTTATTGTCTTGTATCTTTAAACATGTTATCACATGGATAAAAATATGCTTGGAAATGAAATGCAAATCATGCTATGAATTGTAAAACGAGGCGTTGTAAGATTCATATATGGTTATTTCTGGGAGGACACGCATGTACGCACATTCTTCAGCTGACTAGGGTTTAAATATTTTATCATTCAGTTGATTGATTTTAAAGCCAAAGAGGAGGAGTTGTAATGGTGAAACCTAAACATTTGGTATCTCTGAGAAGCCCTGAATGTGCTCTTTACAGGAAAACCAAAGTCTAAGCCTGGGTCTCAAGAGGATATGTTAGTTTTCATCTTAATGTTCCTCATCAGTCATTAAAGAGAATGAAGGAAAACACCAACCTATTTGTTCCTCTGTCTCTTCATCTTTTATTCTGCAGGGTTCTTCCTTAATCTCCATCTTTATAATAGTATGTCTGTAGTTTCTCCTGGAGTAATTCCTCCTGCTTGCTTCTTCTTCTCCTGTGGGAAGATGGGAATATTCCCCAGCATTTAAAGGTGAACTCCGGCACAAAAATGAACCTTTGGTCTATTTACACATTGTTATCTAGTCAACCGTTATCTGAGATTTGTTTTCATGATTGCCGAATGTAAATAGTTTTATCTATAAACACAGTTCAGCCTATAACGCTAGTATATAGGGCATAGAGTAATGACAAATAAAAATCGCTTGTTATTACCACTAACAAGGCTCAAAATAGCCCCACAGTAACACGGTAGCATAAAAAGGGTGCCTACATTCAAACCGAAGCATTGAGAACTTTGTCAGTGTCCATACAGTTTAATAAGAAGATATTTTATACACACAGTCAACTTCGCGAATACAGGAAGAAGCCATCTTTGAAAAATAGTCTCTACCAGTCGATCTACGAACGACGATCCACGTGCGCTGAACTGTGAAAAAATCTCATATGGTCCGTTGTTTCCGGAAGAAACACAAACACGAACCATTTTCTTCTCTTCAATATGTACATGTAGACTACTGTTCGCGCTCACCTTATCACCTTATTCACATCTCACCAGCGCACTTGGATCGGCGTTCGTAGATCGACTGGTAGAGACTATTTTTTAAAGATGGCTTCTTCCTGTATTCGCGAAGTTGACTGTGTGTATAAAATATCTTCTTATTAAACTGTATGGACACTGACAAAGTTCTCAATGCTTCGGTTTGAATGTAGGGACCCTTGTTATGCTACCATGATACTGTGGGGCTATTTTGAGCCTTGTAAGTGGTAATAATAAGCGATTTTTATTTGTCATTACTCTATGCCCCATATACTAGCGCTATAGACTAAACTGTGTTTAGAGATAAAACTATTTACATTTAGCAATCATGAAAACAAATCTCAGATAACGGTTGACTAGGTAACAATGTGTAAAGAGACCAAAGGTTCATTTTGTGCTGGAGTTCTCCTTTAAACTCTCATGAACGGCTGTGGGAGCTTCAATGACTGAAGGAGTGAATTGTGGTTGTTATTGCTCATTTAGCAGATCATGATCATCACACTTACAATCACTCGAGATTATCTAGGTGCAAATGTTTGCTCAAATAGTCATTGGAAACTATTGCAAAGTTAACTTCTATCTCAGCTTGCTGATTTTTGTGTTTGTCTTGCTTGAGATGTAGTTTATCATTGCTTGATTAAATTAAAGATGTGAGATTTATGTTCAAGCACTTTCAACAGAGCATCATCCGCACACAGTGAAAAAACGTTAAGCAAAAAGGACACTAGTAGCTGTGTTTCAATCGGGATACGCGAGTGGAGTGGAACATCTCTGCGTTTGTGCGTCCCTCTTTATTCTTTACTCATCAGTGTTTTGCAACTAACGTTAATTGTACAAAAGGCACGGATGCGCTTAAATGTCCTGAATGATCATGACCAATCACAGCGCACAATGTTACCATTGCTTTATCTGTGCTGAATACTGATTTACCCAGTATCACTTAATCAAATGATACACATACTGTACATAACTGAAATTAAGGAACACAGATCGGATGTCCGATGAAAGTGTAAGCAAGGAAAAAAATGCATGGATTCCGATTTTCTCAGATCGGATTCAGGCCTCACTCATATGTGGGAATAAATCAAACAATCAAAAATAGCTTAAATAAGTAAGGAATAATTGACGATAGGCCGTTGAATTATTACAAAAATAATGCACACCCGAGGTGGTAATGCATCTCCGAAACGGGACATAATTTAACCCAGATATTTTTTCATGAGACAGAACACGTCATAAAGCCCATTACAAGTCTTAACTCATTTTTGACCAAATGTGTAGTGCATGCGCTTTGCCTTTGGCCTAAACTAGTCTGTCCCGGCTTTATGCAGTTATTAATGCAGTTATTAGAGAGAGAGAGAGAGAGAGAGAGAGAGAGAGAGAGAGAGAGGCAAGACGATGCATGTGCGTGAATATTATTATTTATTTCTTAACTTCGTTTTAATTAATTTGTTCGTTATTGTTTTCTATAATTGACAGTAGATAACCCAATAAATGAAAAACACAAAGCCCTTTTAACAAGTAAGCCTATCAATAATTATTTATTTGTTAGGCTATATCAGGAATAATTACGAAAATCCGTGCAGAGGACTATTCATTTATTTATATAGCCTATTCAGTTTAATTATTTAGCCTAGATAGGACTATACTTTATTTATTAAAATTAAACTGTATGTGTCAATTGATTGTGAAGTTAGACATCAAAAATTGCAGATCAAGCGCATGGGGCTGCATGTCTTCTCTTGTTATGAATTGTATCCTATTTTCCGTTAACTACGCGCAGTGATATGGAACTGTAATGCGGTTCAAACTTGCCTGAAACTACTTTAGCCGTGCGTTTCCCTGAAAATAATTGCACACCTTTAAAAACGTTCTCAACCAATCAGAATCAAGCATTCAACAGCCCTGTAGTATAAGGATTCATATTTAAATGATTATGCAGAGTAATTTAATATTTGATTATTCAATGTGTGTGGTAGTTATACTTGTATATTACTGTGAGACTTAAATACCTACAGCATTGCTTAATTATCTTAAAGCCGCACTGCAGAACTTTTGGCCACTAGAGGCGCTCGACCTGTAACTTTCACGTCTACCGTTCCTAGAGGCCACAAGCTCCGCAGCAATGTCGCAAATTAAAGTCAACAAACAGTGAACCGGTCAGCCTCCCGTGTCTTTATATGCAATTGTGTGTGCTTGCAGTGTTTAAGGCGGGCCGGGCAGCCCTGCCGCGCTCGATTCCCTTATAGCAGTCTGCTTAGAGAGAGCGAGTGGGGTGATCCCCATGGAGATTATCATGTCTGTGAGTGAATATGGGCGCAGGACAGTGGGCACATTCTCTGCACTGAAAACACCATCGGCCTGAGCTGACACTAACGTTATGTGTGTTGGGTTTTTTACAGAAACCGTGGGACATGTGGTGTGTAGTGTTTGTGGGTACTACTGAGTCGTGGGCACGTTCACTACATTTAATGTAACGTTACATTTGACATGAGTCGATTTTATAGTGCGAGCCCTGCACTGAGGCGGGCTGTTTTGAAATGAACACTGGGCTGTGGGCATTTTATTACACTCATAACACCATCGGCTGTGGCCGGAATACCAGAAAATACTACACTGCTTATATGAATTTATCTGGGTTACCTTGGAAACGGCATTTGTGTGCAGGCAAGCGTCCGCATCGGTCGAGCACCCTTCCTCTTTTAGCTCACACCAGCGAGCGAAGCGAAAGCTAGACCAATATGTTAATCCTCGTCCTGGCTTTTAATTTGTCACTCTCCCCTTTCCTTTTTTTTAGTTTACTCTGATAAAACCGTTGCCTTCTTCCTTGTAGCTGTTCGGCCTTGATGAAAACATACAGACGGCAATCAAACACGAGTTGAGCACTAACGTCAGGATCTGAGGAAGTTGTGGGAAGTGACGTATGCCATAAAGCGGTCGAATTTTGTAGTTCTTTTTGTGCTCGGGTTCCTACCCGAAACCCGAAGTTACAAAGTGCTAGTAAAAGCGATACAGACACCTTCAGGATACGGCAGACGCGTCATTCAACATATTGTAAGTCGATGTACCATCTCAATGGGTTCTGGTAATATATTATAAAGGTTGAAGAGTTCCACAGTGTGGCTTTAATTCTATAGTTTTTATTTATGCTACTACTTCCAATGTGTTTAATCGTTGTTTTATTGCTGATTATTGCAACAAATGACCTAATAAAAAAACATATACTGAGTGAGTGAGCAAACATTTTGGTGAGTTTATTGTCATTTATTTTAAAAATATTTATAAAAATACATATAAAAACATATAAAGGAGTTAATATTAAAGTATTGTAAGTATGTTGTTCTTTTCTTTTCTTTTTTACCATATAATGGTGTCAGTACTACAGACTACTAGTTTTTGGTGTCGTGATGTCCGTAATCTGGTGACTCACTGCATGGATCTGCGTCCGTCTGTGTGAATTGTTCTTTTATGTTTCTCATCAGTCATTAAAGAGAATGAAGAAAAACACCAACCTATTTGTTCATTTGTTGTATCTTCATCTTTTATTCTGCAGGGTTCTTCCTTAATCTCCATCTTTACAATAATATGTCTGTAGTTTCTCCTGGAGTAATTCCTCCTGCTTGCTTCTTCTTCTCCTGTGGGAAGATGGGAATATTCCCCAGCATTTAAACTCTTATGAACGACTGTGGGAGATTCACTGACTGAAGCTGCTGTTGTGTGTTTCTAAATTATTTCTGCATTTCCTCATTGTTATTTAACATTTTAGAGGACTAACGGGCTAGGGTCGGCGACTCTGCGCCCTCATAAGATTCCAACAGAATCATAGGGGGGATATGGGGATATCGCGAGCGGGCGGGGGCATTGTGATCGCTGAGCCTACAAGTAAGTTGTCCATCCATCCATCTTCTTCCGCTTCATCCGGGGCCGGGTCGCGGGGGCAGCAGTCTAAGCAGAGATGCCCAGACTTCCCTCTCCCTAGACACTTCCTCCAGCTCTTCTGGGGGGACACCGAGGCGTTCCCAGGCCAGCCGGGAGACATAGTCTTTCCAGCGTGTCCTAGGTCTTCCCCGGGGCCTCCGCCCAGTGGGACGTGCCCGGAACACCTCCCCAGGGAGGCGTCCAGGAGGCATCCGGAACAGATGCCCGAGCCACCTCAGCTGACCCCTCTCGATGTGGAGGAGCAGCGGCTCTACTCTGAGCTCCTCCCGAGTGACCGAGCTTCTCAGCCTACTCTAAGGGATCGCCCAGCCACCCTGCGGAGAAAGCTCATTTCGGCCGCCTGTATCCGGGATCTTGTCCTTTCGGTCATGTCCCAAAGCTCATGACCATAGGTGAGAGTAGGAACGTAGTTGACCGGTAAATCGAGAGCTTTGCCTTACGGCTCAGCTCCTTCTTCACCACAACAGACCGGTACATCGACCGCATTGCTGCAGAAGCTGCACCGATCCGTCTGTCAATCTCCCGTTCCATCCTTCCCTCACTCGTGAACAAAACCCCAAGATACTTAAACTCCTCCACTTGAGGAAGGATTTCTCCACCAACCTGAAGTGAGCAAGCCACCCTTTTCCGACTGAGGACCATGGCCTCGGATTTGGAGGTGCTGATTCTCATCCCAGCCGCTTCACACTCGGCTGCAAACCTCCCCAGTGCATGCTGAAGGTCAAGGTGTGAAGGGGCCAACACAACAACATCATCCGCAAAAAGCAGAGACGAAATCGTGCGGTCCCCAAATCTGACTTCCTCCGGCCCCTGGCTGCGCCTAGAAATAAAATTATAAACAGAACCGGCGACAAAGGGCAGCCCTGCCGGAGTCCAACATGCACTGGGAAGAAGTCTGACTTATTACCGGCAATGCGAACCAAGCTCCTGCTTCGGTCATACAGGGACCGGACAGCCCTTAGCAAAGGACCCCGGACCCCATATTCCCGGAGCACCCTCCACAGGCCGCCTCGGGGGACACAGTCGAATGCCCTCTCCAAATCCACAAAACATATGTGGACTGGTTGAGCAAACTCCCATGAACCCTCCAGCACCCTGTAGAGAGTATAGAGCTGGTCGAGTGTTCCACGGCCCGGACAAAAACCACACTGTTCCTCCTGAATCCGAGGTTCCACTATCGGCCGTATTCTCCTCTCCAGTACCCTGGCATAGACTTTCCCAGGGAGGCTGAGAAGTGTGATCCCCCTGTAGTTGGAACACACCCTCCGGTCCCCCTTCTTAAAAAGAGGAACCACCACCCCGGTCTGCCATCCCAGAGGCACTGTCCCCGACCGCCACGCGATGCTGCAGAGGCGTGTCAACCAAGACAGCCCCACAACATCCAGAGACTTGAGGTATTCAGGGCGGATCTCATCCACCCCCGGTGCCTTGCCACCGAGGAGTTTCTTGACTACCTCGGTGACCTCAGCTAGGGTGATGGACGAGTCCACCTCTGAGCCCTCAGCCTCTGTTTCCTCAATGGAAGACGTGGCGGCGGGATTGAGGAGATCCTCGAAGTATTCCTTCCACCGCCCGACGACATCCCCAGTTGTGGTCAACAACCGCCCACCCCTACTGTAAACAGCATTGGTGGGGGACTGTTTCCCCCTCCTGAGGCGCTGGACAGTTTGCCAGAATCTCTTCGAGGCCAACCGATAGTCCTTCTCCATGTCCTCACCGAACTCCTCCCAGGCCCGAGTTTTTGCCTCCACAACCACCCGGGCCGCAGTCCGCTTGGCCTGCCGGTACCTGTCAGCTGCCTCCGGAGTCCCACAAGCCAACCAGGCCTGATAGGACTCCTTCTTCAGCTTGACGGCATCCTTTACTTCCGGTGTCCACCACCGGGTTCGGGGATCGCCGCCTCGACAGGCACCGGAGACCTTACGGCCACAGCTACGAGCAGCCGCTTCAACAATGGAGGTGGAGAACATGGTCAAGTAACAAGAACATGAACAAGTAAGTTGTCATCGAAAAAAATGGATAAAGCAAAAAACCTGTTGTGGGCTAAATATAGAAAAAGAAAGAGGGAAAATGAGATGGCCTGTCAAGGGATGCGACAACAGCTAAATATAAGTATTAAAAATATATATTTAAATAGAAAAAAATATATAGGCTAACGTATGATTTAGGCTATTTACATAACATGGCCAAGGGAGCTGTTTTGCTGAATATTATTACGAAGCAGGCTAGCCTATTTAATCATCATAAATGTTTATTATCATAAACAAGTAGCCTGTAGGCCTATATTAAATTACTTACATTTTAGACACATCATTGACTGTTTTAGTTATTTTTCATCTATCAGTGCAGTGTTTTGTTACTGAATGATTACTATCATTCTGCGTTTTGAATGAATCGTTTGAACGAGTGACTCACTATTAAGACGGCCATTTGTCGACACCTTGCGGTTTAGTTTCATGTTTAAAAGGTTTTTTTTTCCTTGTATATTTAAACATTTATTTAAAACATCAATCTCATAACAACCTATTTATTGCAGTTGCAATTTTGCAGTGTATGAACTAAATTATTTAATTTGAAGCTTTATAAAGGTAAATAAATAACGCCCTGGAGTGAATTTAATAAATATGCAGATATAAGTGTGTAAAAGCTGATCACTGAGGAGAATATTCCTTAAATATAGCTTAATGAGAATACATACATTAAGCTATATTTATACCTAAACAATCATCCCGGAATAAAATACGTTTATTTTACATTTGATTATTCAATATCTGTACGTGGATACCGTGAGGTATACCTTAAAACTGCTTTTTATCTGTTGCATCTTTGTTCAATTTTTTTAAGGGGCCACTACTTTTAACTAAGTTTATTTGTTCTTTTTTTCTCTTTTGTTAAGTTTATTTGTTCTTTTTTTTATAACATTTGAACTTTATATTAAAGTCTTAGTTATAGTAGTTTTGGTGTGGTATTAAAAATGTCACTGCCACTGGTAGGCCTATTTAAAATTGTGTAGCTTATTTATTTGAATAAAATGTTAGATGAGTAAAAACAACAAAATCATTTTTATTATTTTTATGGGGAGGGGGATATGTATGAAGGTAGATTTGTGTCTTTATTATTCAATCAAAAAAAATGTTGCTTTAATCAAAAAAAATATTTTCAATTAAAAAAACCTTCACTTCAATGAAAAAAAAACTTTTCAATCAAAGAAAAAAAGTATTTGAATCCAAAAATATATTTGAGACTCAAAAAAATACATTTGAACACTGCTTTTCTTTGATTGAAAATGTTTTCTTTGATAGAAGTCCGGTTTTTTTTGTTTAAAGCAACCTTTTTAATTAAAGTAACATTGTTTTTTGATTGGACCATATAATGGGTAGGACATTTGTGTCTTTATCATTCAATCAAAAAGAAGTTGCTTCAAACAAACAAACAACAGAATCAATACAAAAGTCACTTCAATGAAAAGATAAACATTTTCAAATATAGAAAATCATTTTTGAATGCAAATAAAATATTTGAGACTCCAAAAATTGCATTTGAACACCTTTTGTTTTAATTGAAAATGTTCTCTTTGATTGAAGTAATCTTTTTTGTGTTTGGGCCATACATGGGTAGGACATTTGTGTCTTAATCATTCAATTCCAAAAAAGTTGTTTCAATCAAAAAAAAAATATTTTCAATCAAAGAAAAAACTTTTCAAAAGCAAAAAAAAAAATATTTACCTCGTGTATAAAAAAAAGTATTGAAGAGAATGTGTGTTTTCGTTGTTTTTGTTTTTTATTTGAAGTGAAAAAAATTTAGAATTTCAAATTGTTTTGATTGAATCCTTTTTTTTTTTTGAAGTGCAAAAAGTTTTGAAGTTCAAACTTTTTTTTGATTGAATCATTTTGACACAAACGTTCCGCAGTGGGCGGGTGGTTCTCTGTTGGTCAGACATGTTTGATTGACAAGTGTCTACACCAACGACATCTTTCTGACAAAGAAGTCATGTTCGCCACTCGCCAGCAGCTTTTTTAGAGGGGATAAAATCTTTGCCTGGCAGGGGGATCTGCTAATCGACCGGCCACGGATATATGTGCCTTATATGCACTGCATTATATAGCGCCTGCCACTCGAACTTACACAATATTTACAGTAAATGCAGCGCATATTCCCCGACAGAACGGTACGCACAATAGGTCAATATTCACCATTAACCAAACGCTTTTCACCTGCCTAGCCACAAGATTTCTCACTGTTTACACCTATCAGACACTCCTAATGGTAGGCCTACACGAGAGCACACATACAGTACAATACAGATCTTATTTACACATTTATCATCTGATCATATATTTTATTCGTTCTTTTTGCCCGTATTGGAGCGCGTATAATAACGTGCAATCCATCTCTTATTTACCTTTTGTCATCTTATATTATATTTTATTTGCTCTTTTTATGCGTATGGGAGTGCGCTCGCATGGCTCTATTAAGCGTCGCGCCGGCCACACCAGCCACACGATCTCTCTCTATTTACACCTAATGGTAGCTACACGAAAGCACACATAGTGCAATACAGATCTCATTTACCCATTTATCGTCTGATCTTATATTTTATTCGCTCTTTTTATGCGAACGGGTCGTGGCTCTAAGCATCGCCAGCCATACCAGCCACAAGATCTCTTATTACACCCATCAGACACTCCGATTGATGCACATGTGAAAACAGACAGTGCAATCCTGCTCTTAAGTATCTTTTTTGTCATCTTATTTTATATTTTATTTGCTCTTTTTGTCCATAATGGAGCGTGCGCGTCACCTAGCGTCGCGCCTGCCACAAGATCTCTCACTGTTTACATGAGACACTCAGATGAGAGCAAATAAAGTCCAATCCATCTCTTATTTACCTTTTTGTAATTTTTTCTTATATTTTATTTGCTCTTTTTGCCCGTATTGGAGCCATCTTCGCAGTAGTGAACGCGCCGAGAGAAATGCTCATTTCATATGGATTAAATATAATCTGAGAGTAGAATAATATTTATTTTCATTTTGAATTGTTTTGTTTAAAATTAGGCTAGACATTTCTACCTTTCTAGATGTAGCCTATTTATCATGTCTTTGAGAAACGTGCAAAGCAAAAAGTTCATGATTTTATTGCTATGCCTATGTTTGCTTTGCTTCTTATTTATTAAATCCTGGGAATTGGTTGATCAAACATTGATTAAAATCAAGATGCAATTTATTAAAAACGAAATTCACTTTAAAGAAAGGCTTTATTAAAAAAAACAAACTTAATGGAGTGGTCAAAATCATTCTCCTTCAGAATGTCAATCGGAGAATCACGCAACTATGAGAAATATTGCGAAATCTTGTGACTGGCGCACCACGAAACGTGCTCCATTATGGGACAAACGAGCTAATAAAGTATAAGATAAGATGACAAAAGGGTAACCTAAATAAGTGCAGGGTTGCGTTGTCTCTGTGTTTTCGTGCATCAATCGGAGTGTCTGGTAGCTATGAGAAAAGTGAGAGATCTTGTGGCTGGCCCGACGCTTAAGAGCCACGAGATGCGCTCCAATACGGGCAAAAGAGCGAATAAAATATAAGATAATATGTAAAAAAAAAGTAAATAAGAGATGGATTGCACTTTATATGCCCTCAGAGTGTCTGGTTCACGTAAACAGTGAGAGATCTTGTGGCAGGTCGGGAGGGGGAGGGGGACGGGTGGGACATGTCCCCATAGATATGTATGCATGTCCCCACCACTTTTTGCCAGGGTCGATTTTGTACCCACCACTTTTGAAACATCTCGCGGCGCCTACTCGAAAGAGAAAAAAAAATAATGAATGCGTCATTGTACCCAGCACTTTTGAAAATGCTCTTCCGAATACGTCTCTCCGTCCCCCAGCACATTTCAAACCAAACCAAACTGACGCCCGTACACAAGAGCAGGATAACACTGTCTGTGTGCTCTCGTGTATTAATCGGAGTTTCTGATAGTAAACAGTGAGAGATCGTGTGGCTGGTGTGGCTGGCGCGATGCTTAGAGCCACAAGCTCAAATGATAAATAGATAATATCCTGTAGGGGTAAAAACTTGCTGGCGAGTGGCGAACATGACTTCTTTGTCAGAAAGATGTCGTTGGTGTAGACACTTGTCAATCAAACATGTCTGACCAACAGAGAACCACCCGCCCACTGCGGAACGTTTGTGTCAAAATGATTCAATCAAAAAAAAGTTTGAACTTCAAAACTTTTTGCACTTCAAAAAAAAAAAAGGATTCAATCAAAACAATTTGAAATTCTAAATTTTTTTCACTTCAAATAAAAAACAAAAACAACGAAAACACACATTCTCTTCAATACTTTTTTTTATACACAAGGTAAATATATTTTTTTTTAATTTTGAAAAGTTTTTTCTTTGATTGAAAATATTTTTTTTTTGATTGAAACAACTTTTTTGGAATTGAATGATTAAGACACAAATGTCCTACCCATGTATGGCCCAAACACAAAAAAGATTACTTCAATCAAAGAGAACATTTTCAATTAAAACAAAAGGTGTTCAAATGCAATTTTTGGAGTCTCAAATATTTTATTTGCATTCAAAAATGATTTTCTATATTTGAAAATGTTTATCTTTTCATTGAAGTGACTTTTGTATTGATTCTGTTGTTTGTTTGTTTGAAGCAACTTCTTTTTTGATTGAATGATAAAGACACAAATGTCCTACCCATTATATGGTCCAATCAAAAAACAATGTTACTTTAATTAAAAAGGTTGCTTTAAACAAAAAAAACCGGACTTCTATCAAAGAAAACATTTTCAATCAAAGAAAAGCAGTGTTCAAATGTATTTTTTTGAGTCTCAAATATATTTTTGGATTCAAATACTTTTTTTCTTTGATTGAAAAGTTTTTTTTTCATTGAAGTGAAGGTTTTTTTAATTGAAAATATTTTTTTTGATTGAAGCAACATTTTTTTTGATTGAATAATAAAGACACAAATCTACCTTCATAGGATATGGGGGGCGCCAACTATGATCTTGCATACCCCTCAACAGATCTGCAGAGCGCCTGTGATCTTACCATCGTCTTCTCTTTCAAAGTAGTGACGAAACGCGCTCTGTAGCGCTGTGTGTTCACGTTCGGCTACGGTAGAAACATGACGTCACAATATGTCGACCTTCATAGAGGGGGTGCATGCGGTTATGGAGATATAAATGCCTCATTCTAAGGTAACAAAAACATTACGGTTTATTAAGTAAGTTTTTTAGACACCGCTAAAAAAAACATAGTTGTGGATATCATATTGCATTTCTGCAAATAGATACTCTACACATTTTGAATAAAATGAAAATAAAAGGACTCAATTCTCAGTCGATTCATTTCTGAGTGATTCACTAAATGAACTGACTCGTTTAGTCGTTTGGATTTAGATTTCTCCTAATAAATGATAAAATGATCTTACTCACAGTCTGAAAACAGCAGATTTAGAGCAGAATGAACGGCTGTGTTCCACTTCTCATGTTTATGTTCCCTTCCCTCGCTCACTTCTCTTCTTCTCCTACTCAGATGTGTGTCATTGCTTCGGTTGCTCGAGCGCCTCTACTGGCGGAGTCTTTAAACCAGTTAACCTTCATTAGATACAAAACAACCAATATAAAATCTATTATCTTGTTTGAGAGCATACAAACACTATTTATTTCCCAAAATATATTTGATTTGGGATAAAGTAAAAAAAATAATTAAAGAATTAATTTTAAAGTTAAATGGTACAAGTTGAATTAATAAAACGTGTTATATTAGATATGAAGATTTACCTGAACGACTCCAGTTGTGTCTGAGCAGCTCAATGCAAGTTGTATGGTTTAGATTTCTCCCAATAAAAATAAAATCACATTCTGATAAACACAACTGATAAATTAAAGTGAATTAAATCGGTTAAAGGTATACACGATGTAACTTTTGCAGCTTAATAATCAAAACTTATTTTAAGGAATAGTTCACTTAAAATTGAAAAGCAAACAGTTGATGGACCCCATTGACTTCCATACCATAGTCCATCAACTGTTTGATTATTGACATGCATGCTTCAAAATATCTTCTTTAGTGTTTAGCAGAACAAAGAAATTTACACAGGTTTGAAACAACTTTAGGGTGAGTAAATGATGATCACCAAGCTGGGCATTTAGGCATATTTCTGTGTGTTTTCAGACACAAACCCAAAGTTCACTTTTCTTCTCCATGTTCCACTTCGTCTCGAAACGCACAGAAAGCCGCTTGAACAGTATCACTCTTCCCCCTTTTAATGCACTTTTTTATTGTTGCGTATGTCCTACAGTTTAGTGACAGAAGACTGTATTTTACGACAATCACTGATCTATCTAGCTGGTTTGGATATTAAGATTGGGCTTTTAGGGAGGATTGAAAGTTCGGAAAGTGTTCAGTCAGGTTTAAGTTTGTGTAAGGGTTGGTAGACTATTTGTATGGAATTGTTTCTAAACGACTGTTCTGGAAAACCATTTACCCTTGGATAATCTCGAGTGATTGTAAGTGTGATGATCATCTGCTAAATGAGCAACAACGACCACAATTCACTCCTTCAGTCAGTGAAGCTCCCACAGCCGTTCATGAGAGTTTAAAGGTCCCCTGACATGGGTTTTTTTTTTTTATTATTATTTTATAATATTTCCTGGGTTGCCCTTATAATGTTAGTATGTTTTTTAGATCAAAAATAGTCATAATTTAGAAATAAAAGGCATTTTTCCTAGCCTGATTTTAGCCTCTGCTTAGAACAAGTCTCAAATCTCCTATTTCTCTAGGAAAAAATAAAATCACGCATTCGTGTGTTCGTACTTCCTGTTCCAAGCTCGTTTTCTCATCGTCGGGCCAAATTCTCTGGGCGGGCAAAGCAGAGAACGGGGAGTAACTTTTCCCCTATATGACGTCATATAGGGGGAGATTCCATCTGAGATGCAGATGGATGCAGAGAAGATAAAAATAGCCAAAGCTCGGTTTACACCGATTGAAAATTCTAGACACGAGGGGACCATGAAAATTAAAATTTGAAAATGAAAATTTCATGTCAGGGGACCTTTAAATGTTGGGGAATATTCCCATCTTCCCACAGGAGAAGAAGAAGCAAGCAGGAGGAATTACTCCAGGAGAAACTACAGACATACTATTATAAAGATGGAGATTAAGGAAGAACCCTGCAGAATAAAAGATGAAGATACAGAGGAACAAATAGGTTGGTGTTTTCCTTCATTCTCTATAATGACTGATGAGGAACATTAAGATGGAAACTCACATATAACAATAAAATCCCAAACTAGAAGACACCAGTAGACTCAGAAGTAAACTGGATTTTGCCCTGAAAAACTTTCTGATTTTGTGTCTAATTTGTCCGTCTTCAATTGAATTTTAATGTTGTTTTTAGACCCGATGAAAGTGAATGAGGACAAACAGCATTTCACCAACGAAGATGGAAACATCATTTCAAAGACTGAAGAGAATTTCACACAGAAACGAGCTGGAAAAACTGGAGTCAAAGGATCTTTCACCTGCTCTGAGTGTGGAAAGAGTTACAAACTGAAAAAAAACCTAAATCAGCACATGAGGATTCACACTGGAGAAAAACCATTCACATGCACTCAGTGTGGAAAGAGTTTCACATCCCAAGAATATCTCAAAAATCATCTGCGCTCTCACTCTGGAGTGAGATCATTCAGCTGTGATCAGTGTGATAAAACATTTGTTTATGAATCAAGCCTAAGAATACACATTAAAACTCATGCTGATGTAAAGCCTCATTTTTGTTCTTTTTGTGGAAAGAGTTTTTCACGACTGCAAATTTTGAAACAGCATGAGACGATTCATACTGGTGTGAGACCTTATCTGTGCTCTGACTGTGGAAAGAGCTTCATTACATTGACTGACTTAAAAAGGCACCAGAGAGTTCATACTGGGGAGAAACCGTACAAGTGTTCACACTGTGGAAAGAGTTTCTCTCGGTTAGGAAGCCTGAAAGATCATGAGCGAGTTCACACTGGAGAGAAACCGTACAAGTGTTCACACTGTGGAAAAAGTTTCGCTTATTTGTCATCGTGTGCAGATCATGAGAGAGTTCATACTGGAGAGAAACCCTACAAGTGTTCTTCTTGTGGAAAGAGTTTCACCCAACTATCTAATCTAAAGACTCATGAGAACAAGCATTAAGATGAATATCTCTAAATTATCATTTTCAACAAGCACAAATAGATGTGAATTATTGTATTGCTTTTCTTCTCCCTCTTTTTTTTTTAAGCAGATTCTGTGTCTCATCATCAGGATAAATCAGTGTTTCTGTATAAGTGAACATTTACAATCCAACTCTAGAAGACAGCATTTTAAGGTTTCATGAATGAAGAATCGGCTCTAAATCTCCATTTGCCAACTTCTTTTCTTCTTTTGGTGTCACTTTGACAGCGAATAACTTTACATCTGAGGCGTCCAAACTAAGACTCCATTTGTCTTGATTCAGATTCCTCTCGGCACAGCTACTAGAAGACGTACAACCTTCAGACAGTTTGGTCACGTTACATCTCCGTCATCAAGCTCAGTGTGAGCCTGTGCAGTCGCTCAGCCATCAGGAGTGCTTCTTCAGGGCTTCACTTTTCTCTGTTGAATCTATGGTGTCACTGTGTCCATTTCTTTTACAGTCTATGCTTCTGAAAAGGAAAATAAGGGACACTCAAAACATTTGTAATTCACCACACAGCAAATGTCATTTCATTGTCTGTATGTGTATAAAAGATCTATAAATGGTTCTCAGACATAAACACATTTGGGTCATTTGTGTCAAAATTGACTGTAATTCATATTAAAGACGTCTTAATATTCTTTTAGATTACTTTTTCTTTTGGTTTCTTAAAGAATCTTAAAAAATAGTCTCGATAAGTCGATCCCCGAACGCCGTTCATTCGCTGAACTTCATACAGTTCAGATCACTCAGCACGACGTTCGTGGTTTGACTTATCGAGACTATTTTTTAAGATGGCTCCTGTCTGTATACAAGAAGTGAACTGTCTTTATAAAGTATCTTCTTATTAAACGGTCTGTACACTTACAAAGTTGTCAATGCTTCGTTTTGCATGTATGGACCCTCATTATGTTACTGCGTAAGTGTGGGGATATTTTGAGCCTTGTTAGTGGTATAAACTAGCGATTTCATTTTACTTAGTCAATGCCCCCATTACTAGCATTATATGCTAAACAGTTTTTAGATATAAAACTCTATACATTCGATTATCGTGAAAACAAATCTCAGAGAACGGTTGACTATGTACCGATGTTTTATTAGACCAAAGGTTCATTGTTCGCCGGAGTTCTCCTTTAATAGGATTAATTTCCAGAGATACAGTGATCTCAATGTGGCTCTATGAGTAAACTGGTACACATTTTCAATGTCTGCACATTTTCTGAATAACAAATAATGATGAAAGTAGAATTATATCTCTTTATTTTCTATCAACACAATTGAAAATTATTGTCCGAGTGCCATAAATTCAAAAGTTTGTGTGCCTGTAACTTTAAATGTATACTTTTTCTTAAAGGGGCCATATAATGGTACATGCAAGTTGATTGTACTGAAATGTGTGTTGCCAGTGCCTGTACACAACTATCATATTATGATAAAAATCCATCCAGTGATCTGCCTCAAATTGAGACGTTTGATTTTGTGATGCCACGGTCGGACGCCCCTCCTATGACTGTTGATTGACAGTGTTTCAACACATCCCCGCCCTGAGCGAGCAGTCATCATAGTCCGCCATTGTTGATACACTGGAGCAGAATGGTGTCTAAGCGATTGTGGTGTTCTGTTCTTAGGAGTAATAACAAACACAGTCATTTTGATGTTCCTAAATCCGAACCTCTGAATATTCCCCACGAGCAACGTAAATGTGTTCATGTCTGCGCAAATCATTTCTCTGCTGACTGCTTTATAAACAAGGATCAGTATAAAGCTGGTTTTGCCAAGAAGCTGCTCCTGAAAAAAAGAATCGGTACCAACTATTCACGTCCCTGCTGCAGCTCCAGAAGAAGTGAGTGTAACGTTTTAACAACATTTATATTAATCTTTCACACTCACAACTATTCAGTGTTTTCAACCACATAAGGTTTATTTTCGAGATAAATCTCACAATTCGAACTGCAGTGCGTACTAACATGGCGCCCATTGTTTGTTGTAGATCAAACATGAATCATGATCATTTTAAGGTTTCTTAAATGACAAAACACATTCACTTACATATACTGTATTTAAGAATTTACTGACTGACATGTAACACAACCAATCACTGTTTGTTTTGTTCTGCGTCATGTTTAGTGTGAAAATGTAAAGTTGATGTCCATACAATAACAGACCGGTGTACATCCAATAAATTATTAATTCAAGAAGGTTGTGCAAGTTTGCTGCAAGAAAAGAGCTGCGAACTTCGCGAATTTTTGAAATCCAGCCTTCAGTTGATCCCGATAAGAGCTCATGTCACAGTTGTAAATGACAGCATTCATCCACAATGGGTTTCGCGTCACACATTTAAGGTGATGCGTTCGTAGCCCTCAATCGGGTCATGGTGTCTATACGACCCTAATCGACTTTTAATTAATTAAAAAAAAAGGTTCCCTTCATCTCAGTGGAATAAGATTTTGGGACTTTTTATACATTATCTAACTATAAACACACAAAAAAAACTGGGCTTGATCCGGATGTTCTGAAGGTATGTAAAAAAATGTTTACACTTCTGGTCTTCGGGGTCAATATGACCCCACATTGAAATGAATGGGAAATGTGAAAAAACTAAATATATTTTCACGTCAAAAAAAAAATCTGGCATAAATCTGAAAATTTTTACACAGAAATGAAGGCCTAGTACTAAAGCATAAATGCAATGTATCATAAAATTGCATATGCAAGCTAATGGTGTAGTTGAGGAATTGTGTGGTATATGGGTGGTATACAAATGTACTTTATATTTCCAAAAACACAGCATTAATGAATAGATGAGAAGTAAACATAACAATTATATTATTTGTATGATTAAAAATGTATATTTTTTTGTACAATTACTCAATCAATTGTTGGGGTCGTATAGACCCCGAAGCCCAGAAGTGTAAACAGGAAACCAAGACCATTTGAAGGTTAAAGGGATACTTCAGGATTTAAGATTTGTACTTGTAGAAAACCTGTAGTATTTCCAAATTACCATGCTTTCCAACTTCATATCCCCCTGAGACGAGAGATTGATGTATTTTTTGTCTGGAAAAAATCCTCCGATGATACAAAATTCGTAATTTTTTTGGCCAGAGGCTAAAGACTACAGTCAGTAGTAAGGACTGTCCACTTAATTTAACGCCAAATAGAAGAAAAAGATTTTACATGGACATAAGAGTCCGTTTAATTTACTTGAACTATAATCTACCGTTATCAATTTATTGACCAGATCATAAAACAATAGTTCAAAATCCAATTCATAGAAAAAAAAAAATCATTGGTCAACCAAATTAAACAACAATAACTGACAAATCGAGGAATTGTAAAAACCTGGCAACGAAAACTACACACACAATGATCATGTGAGAAGTCTACCTACAGACTCATCAAACCTTTCACCAATTTTAAATTCAATATGCTTACCAAATGGTGGTGTTTGTCTTCATGATCAGATTTTGGTCCCCTATTAAGGGGATCACAACTTGTAATTGAATAGGTTCTTGATATCTGTGGAAGAGAATACTTATTTGCAAATGGGAAATAGTAATTGGTGGTAGTTTTAATGGAGGATGGGGGATGGGCACATCTTTCAAGAGTCACACAATATTTCTCATATTTGTCATGACCGGCTCAAAGCCGTGGCAAATGAGATGGAGGACACAGTGATTGGGTTGCAAAAAATAAACATTTATTAACATAAATGTAAAAACATATAAAATCAAGAAAACATGGTCATCTGTAATGTCTGTCAGGTGCATGGATGTAAATGTATAAGCCAGAGAAAACAAAAATCTAAATCAAATAACAAAAGCCCAACCCAAACACAAAGTAACCCGGTGAAAGACCTCCCTCTATACTAGCCAGACTTACTTTTATAAAGGGATGAACAGGTGGACATTGTTCCCTTGATGAGTCTCCTAGCCGCACCCACTAGCCCGTCATAGCAAGATGAGTAGAGGGACTCATAGAGATCAGTCCACGCCGCTCCGATACATCTCGAACAAGCCTTCCATCAACAATGGCGGTCAATGCGTTATTATTTATGCTCATCTATCTTAATAAGAGACAGAATCCAAACTGGAGCTGACGTACTCTACTTCAAGATGGCATCCCGAGATAAAACAGAAAATCAAATGGAAAATTCTTTGCTTTGAGCAATGGGCAACTTTGGGCAACCCTTTTTCTCGTGATGCCGTAGATGAGATAATTGGGTGAAACTCTTCTCACATGAAGAGCAATGATACGGCTTCTCTCCCGTGTGAAGTCTCTCATGAGCTTTCATGACTCCTGACCGAGCGAAACTCTTTCCACAGTGTGAACACTTGTACGGTTTCTCTCCAGTGTGAACTCTCTGGTGTCTTTTAAACTGTGTGATTCCACCAAAGCTATGCCCGCAGTCAGAGCACAAATAAGGTTTCTCACCAGTATGCACAATCTCATGCACTTTTAAATACTTCAGTAGTGCAAAACTCTTTCCACATATAGAACAAAAATGTGGCTTCACACCAGCATGAAGTTGAAGGTGTGTTTTCAAGCGTGATTTCACTGCAAATGTTTTATCACAGTGATAACAGCTGAACGGTCCTTGAACTTCAGAGTGAGAGAGCAGATGATCATAGAGAGGCCCTTTCTGAGTGAAACTCTTTCCCCACTGAGTACATGACAACAGATTTTCTCCAGTGTGAATCTTCATGTGTGTGTTCAGGTCTGATTTATGTATGAAACTCTTTCCACAATCAGAACAGGTTAAAGTTCCTTTGTCTCCAGATTTTCCAGCTTGTTTCTGTGTGAAATTCTCTTCAGTCTTTGAAACGACAGCATTTCTATCTTCAATTTTGAAATGAGATTCTTGAAACAGATATCGTTTCTCTTCATTCTTATCTGTCATTTCTTCGTCTTCATTTTTGAAATGATGCGATTCTTGAAATAGATTTTGTTTGTCTTCATTCTTATCCGTCATTTCTTTGTCTTCATTTTTGAAATGAGATTCTTGAAACAGATATTGTTTATCTTCGTTCTTATCTGTCATTTCTTCGTCTTCATTTTTGAAATGAGATTCTTGAAACAGATTTTGTTTATCTTCACTTTTATCCGTCATTTCTTCGTCTTCATTTTTGAAATGATGCGATTCTTGAAATAGATTTTGTTTATCTTCACTTTTATCCGTCATTTTCTCATCTTCAATTTTGAAATGGGAAACCTGAAACAGATGTTGTTTATCTTCGTTTTTATATTTCAGTTCTCCATCTTCGTTTGTGAAATGATGCTGTTTGTCTTCATTCCCTTCCGGCGGGTCTAAAATATGTCCAAAATAAAAAAGGACAAAGAAACAAAGGTCATTCTTAATTTAGCACAAATCCAGTTTACTACACAGTCTAATATTTCATTTTAGATGCATTGTTATCCTCCTGAGAACCAGAAACTTTTGTTAGTGTGGGGCTATTTTGAGCCTTGTTAGTGGTAATAACAAGCAATTTTTATTTGTCATTACTCTATGCCCCATATACTAGCGTTATAGGCTAAACTGTTTTTAGAGATAAAACTATTTACATTCGGCAATCATGAAAACAAATCTCAGATAACGGTTGACTAGGTAGCAATGTGTAAATAGACCAAAGGTTCATTTTGCGCCAGAGTTCTCCTTTAAATAGTTGTACGGGAAACACACCCCAGAGCGCCATCAGCGGAGCTCGTTGATAGATTAACTTTTGCCGTATCTGGTCGGCAAAACTACAAACACATTTTCATTTTTTTTAATGAAAGACTTAAGTGCCTTTGTTCTTTTCTCAAAGAAAAGCTTTACTCCAAGTCCTCCAGAGGCACGACTAAAGCCGATTCGAAAGGCCTGACTAGAGTTTGTTTTTTCCAGCTCGAAAGCCAATGGTTGCTAGACCACCCTGGCTGAAAAAAACATTTGTATAATTTTTGTATAACTTTTCACACTGTTTTTGTTACTTTTTTATTTTAGGAAATGTAGAGGTTGATAAAAAGATTTTGTTTGTTATTTTGGCCTAGTCTATATCTAATGGGTTCTTGTGGCAACATGTAATGAAAAAAGAAGTGTAATAATGGGAGTAAAAACTTGCCAATATTTTCATAATAATATAGAAAAACACCAACCTATTTGTTCCTCTGTATCTTCATCTTTTATTCTGCAGGGTTCTTCCTTAATCTCCATCTTTACAATAATATGTCCGTAGTTTCTCCTGGAGTAATTCCTCCTGCTTGCTTGTTCTTCTCCTGTGGGAAGATGGGAATATTCCCCAGCATTTAAACTCTCATGAACGGCTGTGGGAGCTTCACTGACTGAAGGAGTGAATTGTGGTCGTTGTTGCTCATTTAGCAGATGATCATCACACTCGCAATCACTCGAGATTATCCACGGTTTAAGTGTTTTGCTCCAGTAGTCGTTTAGAAACAATTCCTCGAATTGATTTTATTTTTTGAGAGAGCAGGAGACAGGAAATAACTAAATGAATGTCTTTAAAAGAAAAACATATTAGGACAAAAATATGAAACAATAAAAAAACTACTAATAAAAATGTACACACCCACGCATTCAAGCTTCGTAGCTGTTTATTTTAAAATACGTTTTTTTCCCCATTATAGTTTAATCTCGGAAGCTACACCAGTTATTTTGCCAAGAGATCTCTTATATATATTTTATGTGTCAGACATAGGCCTACGCAAGAAACAGGCATAAAAGACTAGAGGTGGTCTTTATTCCATATTCGATTATGTTCCCCTTCTCTGTTTATTTCGAATTTTTAAAGAGAAAATGAAGGAAAAAACCAACCTATTTGTTCCTCTGTATCTTCATCTTTTATTCTGCAGGGTTCTTTCTTAATCTCCATCTTTACAATAGTATGTCTGTAGTTTCTCCTGGAGTAATTCCTCCTGCTTGCTTCTTCTTCTCCTGTGGGAAGATGGGAATATTCCCCAGCATTTAAACACTCATGAACGGCCGTGGGAGCTTCACTGAATTGTGGTCGTTGTTGCTCATTTAGCAGATGATCATCACAATCACTCGAGATTATCCAAGGGTAAATGGTTTTCCAGAACAGTCGTTTAGAAACAATTCCATCAATTAAAAAAATACAAGCAAATTGTAAAACAAACCATATATAATACCAATAACACCAACCCTTACACAAACTTGGTTAAATCTGACTGAACACCTTCCGAACTTTCGATCCTCCCTAAAAGCCCAATCTTAATGTCCAAACCAGCTAGATAGATCAGTGATTGTCATAAAATACAGTCTTCTGTCACTAAACTGCAGGACATACGCAGCAATAATAAGAGTTATTAAAACTGCATTAAAAGGGGGAAGAGTGATACTGTTCAAGCGGCTTTCTGTGCGTTTCGAGACGAAGTGGAACATGGTGAAGAAAAGTGAACTTTGGGTTTGTGTCTAAAAACACACAGAAATATGCCTAAATGCCCAGCTTGGTGATCATCATTTACTCACCCTCAAGTTGTTTCAAATTCTTTTGTTCTGCTAAACACTAAATAAAATATTTTGAAGCATGTCCAAAAATGTACTAGACTAGTTTATAGTTATTTTTCCATATGTTGCTGCGAGCTATCTCTATTACAGCCCATTTCCAACCACAGACAACAATTATTTGTTTGTACAGTTATTTGTTATACAGAAATGTGGTTTTTCCCATCTTCATGAACATGCGACGCCTCCTCGATGTTTTGTCAACCACTTTTTTTATTTTTTTTTTATTAACAACAAAATGAGTACAAACATTTGTATTAACATACAACATATATAACAAAGTTTTTCTTACTAGGGGGGTATTGTAAACTTATATAAAGGTATTATAGCACTTGCATATTTTCAATGTTTTAATTGCTTTTTGCTTCATAGAAAATCGGAGTGAATCAATATAAAGCTCAATTTCTTTCCTAAATAAAGTAAAATAAGTTTTTTTTACAGGAGAATTTGCATTTATGAACATACAATTTTGCCATTGAAAGAATGAAATTAATTAAATAAATCTGATTGTGCTTAATTCTACTGTTCTCCCAAATACCAAATAAAATATGTTTCCACAACAACATAAATTGGTCATCAATGTTTCTTGTGATAAAATCACAGACATTTTGCCAAAATGGTCTTACAAATGGGCAATGCCAAAATAAATGAACCACAGTTTCAGGGCAACTGTCACAAAAGGCACAATTAACATCAATATCACTTTTAAATTTTATAAAGTACTGTTTTACAGGATATATTCTATGTATCAATTTATATGTTACCTCCTTAAACCTTTGTTTGTAATTAAATATTGATTAGGTATAAGCCAAACCTTTTTCCACACAATAACTTCTGTAAAACCATTCCAGTATGAGTAAATATAAGGCAAAGAGACATCATTTCTTTGAAATAACTCTCTTATAGTTCTATTCTTTGCGTTAAGGGAAACGCATAAGGTGGGGACAATTGTTGAGTATTAATTCTATTTTGATATTTAAACAGCATACAGATTTCAGGAGAAATTGCTGCAAACACTTTTACATATCCCCCTGGTGTTACAGGAATCTTATAATGCGCCAAAAATAATAGAATTTTTACTCATTGTAAGTAGAGCCAGACCGATATATATCGGCAGGCCGATATTATCAGCCGATATTAGGCATTTTCCAAACTATCGGTATCGGCAGTTATAATGGCCGATAAATGATCACGGTACCAAGTCCCGGTGGTACCGAGTACCCGGTCAAACCCGGTTCTGGATGCGCATGCATGCACGAAAAACGTGAAGTTGCATCCTCTTCATGAAAGCGCTGAGATATGGCAACCGGCGGCGCTGCTGATGTTGTGTCTGTGTATATCAAACTGTAAAACGACTATTTAAATATGAACCCTCTATGTTGTGCTTGTCTCTGTGTGAATGAACGGCAGAAATAATAAAGAAACAAAGAAATTTACAGAAATAATTATATTAGGCTAAATTTAATTTAATTTAATCTAAATTTACAATCATGAATAATAAAGTACTTGAATTTAATTTAAAAAATTTTTTCCAAATAGTTAAATAAATTGGAAAAATACTTCAAACTGAGTTTGCTGTGGTACCAAAATTGGTACAGAGAACCGTAACATTTTAATGGTATCGCTACAGACTACTGGAATTTTGGTACAGTGACATCCCTAACTCCAAGTCCTCCAGAGTCGCGGCCAAAGCCGATTCGAAAGGCCTGACTAGAGTTTGTTTTGTTTCAGCTCGAAAGCCAACGGAGAGTTGCTAGACCACCCTGGCTGAAAATAAAACTTGCTGCCACTAGTGTGTGTCTACACTTCTAGGCTAGGATGTAGAAGGTTTAATGCCATTTTATTTTGTATAACTTTTCACACTGTTTTTGTTACTTTTTTATTTTAGGAAATGCAGAGGTTGATAAAAAGATTTTCTTTGTTATTTTGGCCTAGTCTATATCTAATGGGTTCTTGTGGCAACATGTAATGAAAAAAGAAGTGTAATAATGGGAGTAAAAACTTGCCAATATTTTCATAATAATATAGAAAAACACCAACCTATTTGTTCCTCTGTATCTTCATCTTTTATTCTGCAGGGTTCTTCCTTAATCTCCATCTTTACAATAGTATGTCCGTAGTTTCTCCTGGAGTAATTCCTCCTGCTTGCTTCTTCTTCTGGGAAGATGGGAATATTCCCCAGCATTTAAACTCTCATGAACGGCTGTGGGAGCGTATGACACGCCAATTCGTATTTCCATTTTTGGCGTTATATCAAGACGCATAATCGCCTTTCAGCATTTTTATGAACGCCGTTGACTTAACGTTATATAAATATGTGACTTACCTCAACCCCGTCCCTAAACCTAACCGTCACTGGGGTTAATGGCATTTATGACTGTTCCCTTACCATCCTAGGTAAAAAAAAAGATATGACTTACCTCAACCCCATCCCTAAACTTAACCGTCACTGGGGTAATGGCATTTATGACTGGAGATTTGACTGCGTGTACAGACACGCGGAATGACGCGGACGTTAATGGCGTAGACGCATACACGTGGATACACGCGGATAGCTCAAAATGCGTAGAGATAACACGCCACCTGACTCGAAAGTGGCGTATATGTTTACGCAAAAGTCATGATGTCATGTTGGACTGAAGGAGTGAATTGTGGTCGTTGTTGCTCATTTAGCAGATGATCATCACACTTACAATCCCTCGAGATTATCCAGGTGTAAAAAGTCCAGCTTTAAGTGTTTTGATCAAACAATCGTTTAGAAACAATTGAATTCCTCAGGCTAATTTTATGTTGCTGATATGTTGTTAGATATGATTTACATGCATTAAAGACTGTTTACCAGGTTGCATTACATAAAATGAAAACACAACTCTAATAATCTTCACAAACTGGAATTTGAAAAACCAGTCAGTAACGAGTTTACATTTCACGAGAGTAATGAATATCAGTCGGTTCATTTCGATTCATTTCACTAAATGAATTCAGTGATTCACTAAATGAACTGATTCATTTAGTTGTTGGGATTTAGTTTAATAAATCATAAATGTACTCACAGTCTGAAAACAGCAGATTTAGAGCAGAATGAACGGCTGTGTTCCACTTCTTCTGTTTATGTGACCTTCCCTCGCTCACTTCTCTTCTTCTTCTAGACTCGGATGCGTGTCATTCTTCCTCTTTTTTCGTTTTATGGCAGATTGCAACCATGACTTTAAAGGTGCATACCGCCACCAACTGTATCAGAGTATGTAATACGGGCTATTCGTTGGGACTACTTTGTATTATGAAAAAAATATATCCTCTTATATATTCCCATGTTTTTCAAAAATTGTACAACTGCTTTCTGTGTATCCTTTACCCCATCTCCTGTGCCTAATATAAACCTTTAAGGTTCCACTTTCTTCCTGCCTTACTTATCTTTTGTTTTATCTTTATCCTCTCATCTCTATATTTCTTTAAATGCATTAATACATGTTCTACATCTTCCTTGGATCTACATTCCAAACATTTATCTGATAGACTTTTGCCCATTAAAAACAATGTTCTCTTACGAGAGGTTCTCTCGTATTGCGTGAGCTAGCTTACGCTACGGGAAAGATTCATCTTTGCTGAGAAGTTGAAGCCAAAAAATTATTCCATAATTTGTAATCATTGTCAACGCAGTATCTCTGAGGCAGACCATGAGCGGGGCTAGCTAGCAGCTCATTGGTTCGCTCAGAGAGAATGCACAAGCCTATAGGAGAGCGGCGCTGAGCCCGCAGCCAATGAGCGGTAGGCGCTCGCTCATTGCGTCAGAGCCCGCCGAAAGGGGCGTGGCTATAGTGTATAAAATCGGCTCTCCCAGGGCTGGACGTTGATTCTTTCATTCTTCAG